GTACACTGTTTGCCTTGGCTGTTTGCATGTCAAAGATCGGGGAGTACACTGTTTGCCTTGGTTGGTGGCGTCTCAAACATCGGGGAATCAACTGTTTGACTTTGTTGATGGCGTGTCGAAGATCCGGGAGTCCACTGTTTGCCTTGACTGATGGCATGTCAAATATCGGAGAGTCAACTGTTTGCCTTGGCTGGTGGCGTGTCAAAGATCGGGGAGTACACTGTTTGCGTTGGTTGGTGGCGTCTCAAAGATCGGGGAGTCAACTGTTTGCCTTGGCTGATTGCATGTCAAAGATCGGGGAGTACACTGTTTGCCTTGGTTGATGGCGTGTCATAGATCGGGGAGTCAACTGTTTGACTTGGTTGGTGGCGTCTCAAAGATCGGGGAGTCCACTGTTTGCCTTGGCTGATTGCATGTCAAAGATCGGGGAGTACACTGTTTGCCTTGGTTGGTGGCGTGTCAAAGATCGGGGAATCAACTGTTTGCCTTGACTGATGGCATGTCAAATATCGGAGAGTCAACTGTTTGCCTTGTTTGATGGCATGTCAAAGATCGGGGAGTCCACTGTTTGCCTTGACTGATGGCATGTCAAATATCGGAGAGTCAACTGTTTGCCTTAGCTGGTGGCGTGTCAAAGATCGGGGTGTCCACTGTTTGCCTTGGCTGTCGGCATGTCAAAGATCGGGGAGTCCACTGTTTGCCTTGGCTGGTGGCATGTCAAAGATTGGGGGTCCACTGTTTGCCTTGGCTGAGGGCGTATCAAAGATCGGGAAGTCAACTGTTGGCCTTGGTTGATGGCGTGTCAAAGATCGGGGAGTACACTGTTTGCCTTGGCTGGTGGCATGTCAAAGATCGTGGAGTCAACTTTTTGCCTTGGCTGATGGCATGTCAAAGATTTGAGAGTCAACCGTTTGCCTTGGGTGATGACGTGTCAAAGATCGGGGGTCCACTGTTTACTTTGGCTTATGGCGTGTCAAAGATCGGGAAGTCAACTGTTGGCCTTGACTGATAGCTTTTCAAAGATCGGGGAGTCCACTGTTTGCCTTGGTTGATGGCATGTCAAAGATCGGGGAGTCAACTGTTTGCCTTGGCTGATTGCATGTCAACGATCGGGGAGTACACTGTTTGCCTTGGCTGATGGCGTGTCAAAGATCGGGGAGTCAACTGTTTGCCTTGGTTGGTGGCATGTCAAAGATTGGGGAATCAACTGTTTGCCTTGACTGATGGCATGTCAAATATCGGAGAGTCCACTGTTTGCCTTGGTTGATGGCATGTCAAAGATCGGGGAGTCCACTGTTTGCCTTGGTTGATGGCATGTCAAAGATCGGGGAGTCCACTGTTTGCCTTGGTTGATGGCATGTCAAAGATCGGGGAGTCCACTGTTTGCCTTGGCTGATTGCATGTCAAAGATCGGGGAGTCCACTGTTTGCCTTTGCTGAGGGCGTGTCAAAGATCGGGGAGTACACTGTTTGCCTTGGCTGGTGGCGTGTCAAATATCGGGAAGTCAACTGTTTGCCTTGGTTGGTGGCGTGTCAAATATCGGGGAATCAACTGTTTGCCTTGACTGATGACATGTCAAATATCGGAGAGTCAACTGTTTGCCTTGGTTGATGGCGTGTCAAAGATCGGGGAGTCCACTGTTTGCCTTGGTTGATGGCATGTCAAAGATCGGGGAGTCAGCTCTTTGCCTTGGCTGGTGGCGTGACAAAGATCGGGGAGTCAACTGTTTGCGTTGGTTGGTGGTGTGTCAAAGATCGGGGAGTCAACTGTTTGACTTGGTTGATGGCGTGTCAAAGTACCCCTACGGCGTGGACCGTTGTAAATAAGAAAGAGAACATGATTGCCAGTTCCAGACTCAATTATTTAAAGACCCGTGAAGATCCGGGTTAGAATTGGTCTTAAGCAACCCATGCTTGTCGCAAGAGGTGACTAACTCGATTGCTTCACCGAAACGTCGCTCATATCAATAATAATGAAGTTTAACATCCATAGAACTCTCCTCGCTGCTCATCACACCAACTTATAAATGCCACTCAAGGAAGCTTTCAAATTAGCTTTTGGCTTTTCTCATGTCCACTGAAACTGCCACTCCAAGATTTAAGTGGAAAGCTGTTCCGTTTAAAAACGTCTTAATCTTGTTTAATCAAAACCCATTGATGTATCAGAAACATTTGAAAAACACTTTAAGATAATTTCCTATTTTCACTTACCATACTCTCGCGCGTTATATTTTGAGTGTTTAAGGTGAACAGTTGACCAGCCTTTCATGTGTTTATGGCAAGTGCCACCGGCGGGACGGGATAAGCTCACCTCTTCGCATACACCTATTATTATCACGTTAATTTTCTTGATGTGGAAAGGGCTTTGTTTTTTTATACAGAATTGTATAATTCTTATGTCTTACAGGTGCTTTTAAAAATAGTACATACTATTAGAAGAGATTTCTTATAATTATAGAAACAGTTTTGGGCTTCCATTAAACTAAAGACTCTATTTTCCACTGGAATTGAAAACAAAATGTACCAGGAAAACAATCCTTGGCTGCCGAAGACAAAAAAACTCATGTTTGTACTGTTTGCATTTACAGCAATACACAGACAGTCTTTTATGTAAAATTCTTCCTAATCCTGCTTTGAGGAATCCATCCTCAACAAAGCCGTACATAAATTATACAAACACAATACATAATTAATATATTATAATCGCATATGCTAACAACAACTAGTTCTTTGTTAATGACTATTCCAAATATATATCATATTTAGATTATTTCCGGAGGTAAATTTGAAAAAGAAATGGGATATAGGATATATTTAATTAGTGAGAACAGTGATTCGTGCGTGTTGTACCATCTGATGTTATCACTATGAGAGGGTGAGTATAAGCTTGACGAAATTTGCATTTAAGTTATTAAGTTAACAGAGTTTTGTTGCCTTTACGTAACAGAATGAAGACAGGAAGAGATTTTTTTCTATAAATTTCAAAATAATATTATTGAAACTTCAAGTTAGCATCGCGTAATGAGCCGTAATCGCAATCATAAAATTGCATGATGCCAACTTGAAATTTCAGCTTTGAAGATACTAACTTGAAATCTAAAGATAATAAGCTATCTCGGAATAAAATAATTATCATATTATAGTTTACATGACTTGTTACATTATATTTAATTACATTAGCTTGAAATTTCAAATTTCACGCATTGTATCTTACAATTTCAACTTAGTATGTTGAAATGACTTCGTTGTAGTTTCATTATAAATATAAAACAAACGACCCAAAAGGCCTCTGTACCATATCATTTTGACTTTTTATTATAGCATCCTGTTGGAAAACACATTTTAGAAAGTAAATTGCATAAAGTCGTTAAACCTATTCATTTGGAAAGTACTCGAAAATGGCCGTCGAGATGCCTTAGGACCCACAATGTCTACACAGCCCACTCGATGACGAAGGGATGCTTGGGGTGTGGCAGTAGAGAGTAATACGTGATTGATCTATTCATTAAGGGACATCTCCCCCCATCGGGGAATGGAATAATAAAGGAAGCGGTCATCAATCATCAGAATAGGACTTTTTTTTCGATATGTATAAATATAAGGACATTTTTAAATTGCCACTTCATACCTCCCTCTTGCTGAGATCGTCAAGTGTAAGTATGTTCGTTTGATGTTGTATTTACTTAATAGTAGTATACAAGGGCATCAGTACAAGGACTGACTGACTGACTGAGTTTGGTTTTACGCCGCTTTTAGCCATATTCCAGCAATATCACGGCGGGGACACCAGAAATGGGCTTCACTCATTGTACCCATGTGGGGATGCCTAGCGGTAAAAGCGTTCGCTCGTCACGACAAAGACCTGGGTTCTATTCCTCACATTGGTACAATTTGTGAGCCAATTTCTGGTGTCCCCTGCCGTGATATTGCTGGAATATTGCTAAAAGCGTCATAAAATCGTACTCACTCACTTAAGTTATATATTTAACTGGAATAGGGGCGCATTTTAAACAGAGACAATGATGAAATTTGCTTTCGTTTGGACAAATTACATTACTACAATTATAAGGAAACCTGGCAGTACTTGCAGGTTAGTTACATAATACACAGTAAACAAGTTAACACGTGAAGATCAGGGTTAGAGTTGATCTTCAGTAACCCATGCTTGTCGTGAGAGGCAACTAACGGGATCGGGTGGTCAGGCTCGCTGACTTGGTTGACACATGTCATCGTATCCCATTTGCGTATTGTTGCTGAGTGCGGAGTAAAACTAAACTCACTCATTCATTCCCACTTTGAGCATCGATCTATGCAGTTAGAATGGCATATGCCAACAAAGTCATTGAGTCTGATATTAAATATACACAAAGTACTTAATTAAGCACCCCTGTATGTTTCAATAATAGGTTTTCAACACGCACATACAACTTCTCGTGGTGACCACGATAGAATTACCCATATGATCCTTTGACTCATAAAACGACAAAATGATTGGAATCCATACTGTTTTTAAGATGATAATTGCTCATTTAAAAAAACCCCACTGATTTCATACAAAACCATGTCTTTACAAGTATGACCCTGGAATGTTTAATGTTGAATTTATTGGTGTAACCTCCATGTGAATGTATGACAGCTAGCACTCTCCTCCTCATACCCCCTGTCAGCCCCCTGATCCTCTGAAGGGGCAGTACACGCCATTCCTCGTGTAAAGTAGCTTCCAATTGGGCCAGGTTCTGTACAGGAGGATTCTTTTGTTTCACACGACGACCAATCATGTCCCAGATATACTCCAAAGGGTTATGATTGGGGCTCATTCAATCCTGAGATATGTCAGTGGGTGCTAAGAACTAAGTTCTTTGTGTATATATTAGTTAGTTCTTATATTAAAAAAAATCCCCAAATGTTGTGATATGAATGATAATTATGCTCTGAGAACTTGTTTCTACATTTGTGACATTTAATGTACGGATACTTGGTTCACAGGTTCCAGTCATCATGATGAATCTTCTCACCGTCGCCGTTTTTGCCAGCCTTATGGTTGCTACTATGGGTACCTATGGTGGCATCGGCGGGTTTGGTCGTGGTATTGGACTTCATGGGGGTCTTGGAGGTTTTGGGGGTCTAGGGGGCCTAGGAGGTCTTGGAGGCGGTCTGTACGGAGGTCTAGGTTATGGAGGTCTTGGGGGTTTTGGTCTTGGTGGCCTTGGAGGTCTTGGTGGGCTTGGAGGTCTTGGGGGCCTTCGAGGTCTTGGGGGCCTTGGAGGTCTTGGGGGCTTTGGAGGTCTTGGAGGCTTTGGAGGACTTGGAGGCTTTGGAGGACTTGGAGGCGGCCTGTACGGAGGACTTGGTTTTGGACGCGGTCTCCATGGACTGGGAGGTCATGGTTTCGGGGGCTTCCGTGGTAAGAAATATTAAATAAGCTGATATAAACAAAACACACTGAATACAGAGGCTCTGATTAGGCATAGGGCTTAGCTTTTGACGCTGGCCGCTGCTTAAAATTACTGTACTATACCAGTGTCGTACATTCCTACAAAGTATTGTCTTCCACTTGACCATCGACTATTTTAACATATGACACATTGTGGTGTATGGCTCATATACTGTTTAACGGTAACGTATTATTTTATGTAATAAATTCATCCAATGTTTTAAAAACAAACGCTTATTTGCCACTTATTAGCTTCATGCTTTTTTTTTGCAGGATATTAATCGGGGAGAAGCGATTATATCTTCTGAAATCCGAACAACAATCTACAGAAAATGTTATTATACAGAATTAAAATTTGCAAATTGTTCCTTTGTTATTTGTCTGTTGTTAAACCCTTGACAATCCGGGTCGGGCGATGGGGTAGCCTCGTGGTTAAAGCGTTCACTCGTCAACCTGAAAACCCGGGTTCGATTCCCCACATGATACAATATGTGAAGCCCATTTCTGGTGTCCCCCGCCGTGATATTTCCGGAACATTGCTAAAAGAGGCGTAAAACCCAAATGTTGGTCGTAGGATTGTTTGTCAGGCCTCTAAAGACGCACTCCGCAATATACACGCTGTTTACCAAATCACTGAACGTCACAACCAGTTACAGCCGGTGGTGGGTGGGTAGACCAGTGTCACGCCGAATGCACGGGTTCAATTCCCTACATGGGTACCAGGGTATGAAGCTCATTGATGGTCTCACCCGCCGTGATATTGCTGGAATATTGCAAAAAGCCACGTAGAAAGCAACACATGATTGAATGAACGACCATAGGTTACAAGGGTCCTGTTCTAGTCCTAAGCCCCCATGGATTTCCGGCAACTGAATGGATCGGGATGCCACAAGTGACTTTGCCTAAATGAGTGAAGGTTGATTTTCAGCTTTTTACTTCTGACGCTAACAAACTGTGTTCACGAAAGTATCTTTTCAATAATTTCCAATTTTACAGTATATTTCTTACGAATAACGTGTGAAAATGTTAACGATTTTAAAAGTTTGCCAGTCAGTCTCCTACAATAATTATATATTATGCGTGGTCATGAATTTCTGAAATGACGTCAAGGGAGTTTTAGAATCTTATCGGTGTTAACGCATCCATTACAATGATAGAATTCTTGATTGAGCTCTTGTGTTCTGGAGGGAGTTCTTGATCTCTGGAATGAGTTCTTGAGTGAGGCCTTGATCACTTGCGTGAGATCTTGTGTTCTTGAGTGAGTTCTTGATCTCTTAAATGAGTTATCCAGTCAGTTCTTGACCTCTGGAGTGAGATCTTGTGTTCCTGAGTGAGTTCTTTGGTGAATTCATGATCTCTTGCGTGAGTTCTTGTGTGAGTGAGAGAGTGAGTACGAGAGTGAGCGAGGGAGTGATAGTGCTCTTTAAAACAATCTGTGTGTGCGCAGTTATATCTAGCGTTACATATGTCTCCTTGTCTGTGTCTAGGGATAGTCTAGTGGTTAAAGCGTTCGCTCATCACTCCGAAGACCCCGGTTCGATTCTCCGTATGGGTACAATGTGTGAACCCCATTTCTGGTGTCCCCCGCCGTGATATTGCGGGAATATTGCTAAAAGAGACATAAACCCATACTCACTCACTCAATAAAAATAGTGAAAATGAAATTCCACTCTGACACTGTCATGTATACAGAGTTATTTGCCGTAAGAATCGAAAAAATTTGGGATCGTATATTATGGTGATTGTTGTATTTGAACTCACATCTTGCGTAATACCAGCGATAACACACATGCAACCAATATCATCTGAAACAGAGTTACATCCCTTGAAATGTAGACGCGGAAGTGAATCAGTGAGTATACACCTGGACATAACAGTCCACACTTTAACAGCGATAAGATGAAAAGGTGTTTCATTTACTTGTGATACGGTCCTATATACAAGTTATAAATCTGGAAAATCGCTTTTGATTATCTGGGCATGCACTCGCCGTGACTCGAACCAGCATGGTGTAAGGAAGCGTGACAGGAGGCCCACGTTGTTGGGTCACACTCACAGATGTAAACTATATTTATTTCACTGGATATCGGCGTGTGTTAACTATGTGTGATCATCGATTGTTATTGCCTTATAATTGCTGGTACAAGCGGGTAGATGGACTACAGGGGTGACCGCCTATCAGCCGCGATGTCTGGGACTTTCGGAAATATACCCGACCTGTCTGGTCTTGGAGGTAACCATCGAGAGTTGTTTGCAGTTGTTTACGAGAATAACAAAACGCTTACTACTTCATTTTGTAGTTGCACTTAACTTTATTTGCAGTGAAGTGACTAAGAAGAATTTAGTTCTTATTGGAGGAAATACTCGCGCATCAGCTGTATGTGGACATTGTACGCATGTCATGTACACTAGGGGGGGGGATCACAGCACACCTTGTTAGAGTATTAATAAGTTAATCAGATATGCTTAAAAATCACGGGGGGTGGGGGTGGCGGGGGGATTTGATTTTGTACATGACTTGCATGGGGTCACTTACTTATATAATGGTCAGCCACTCAACCAGGGCAAATGTTAGTGAGGTAGTTAAGGTTTACACGCACTCAGCAATATTACTGCTATATGGCGGCGGTCTGTAGATAATCGAGCCTGGGCCACACAAGCATATGCATGCATCAATCTACGCAATTTTGTGCCCTGGTTGAAACAGACTGATAGTGACTGACCCAAGCATAACTAAGTTAAAATCTTAAGGTGTAGTACATTAATTAATTTAAATCCTTCAAACCCACAATGAAACTAATACCAAATACTAATAATATTCATATTAATACTAATGCTAATATTAGTACTAATTACACTAATTACTATATACACTGTACAGTAATAACTGAATGCAAATATTAGTACTAACACTAATAACTAATGCTAATCTTAGTACTAATTGCACTATGTACTATTTACACTGTACACTAATAACAAAATGCAAATGTGAGTACTAACACTTATAACTAACGCTAATATTAGTACTAATTACACTATATACACTGTACACTAATAACTGAATGCAAATGTTACTACTAACACTAATAACTAATGCTAATATTAGTACTAATTACACTATGTGCTATTTACACTGTACACTAATAACTGAATGCATATATTACTAACACTAATAACTAATGCTAATATTAGTACTAATTACACTATGTGCTATTTACACTGTACACTAATAACTGAATGCAAATATTAGTATGACACTAATAACTAATGCTAATATTAGTACTAATAACGCTAATTACTATATACACTGTACACTAATAACTGAATGCAGATGTTAGTACTAACACTAATAACTAAAGCTAATATTAGTACTAATTACACTTATTACTATATACACTGTACACTAATAACTGAATGCAAATGTTAGTACTAACACTAATAACTAATGCTTATATTAGTACTAATTACACTATGTGCTATTTACACTGTACACTAATAACTGAATGCAAATGTTAGTACTAACACTGATAACTAACGCTAATATTAGTACTAATTAGACTATATACACTGTACACTAATAACTGAATGCAAATGTTAGTACTCACACTAATAACTAATGCTAATATTAGTTCTAAATACACCAATTACTATATACACTGTACACTAATAACTGAATGCAAATATTAGTACTAACACTAATAACTAATGCTAATATTAGTACTAATTACACTAAAAACACTGTACACTAATAACTGAATGCAAATGTTAGTACTAACACTGATAACTAAAGCTAATATTAGTACTAATTACACTAGATACACTGTACACTAATAACTGAATGCAAATGTTAGTACTAACACTAATAACTAAAGCTAACATTAGTACTAATTACACTAGATACACTGTACACTAATAACTGAATGCAAATGTTAGTACTAACACTAATAACTAATGCTAATATTAGTACTAATTACACTATGTGCTATTTACACTGTACACTAATAACTGAATGCAAATGTTAGTGGTAACACTTATAACTAACGCTAATATTAGTACTAATTACACTAGATACACTGTACACTAATAACTGAATGCAAATGTTAGTACTAACACTAATAACTAATGTTAATATTAGTACTAATTACACTAATTACTATATACACTGTACATTAATAACTGAATTCAAATGTTAGTACTAACACTAATAACTAATGCTAATATTAGTACTAATTACACTATGTGCTATTTACACTGTACACTAATAACTGAATGCAAATGTTAGTACTAACACTGATAACTAACGCTAATATTAGTACTTATTACACTATATACTATATACACTGTACACTGATAACTGAATGCAAATATTAGTACTAACATTGATAACTAACGCTAATATTAGTACTAATTAGACTATATACACTGTACACTAATAACTGAATGCAAATGTTAGTACTAACACTAATAACTAAAGCTAATATTAGTACTAATTACACTATATACACTGTACACTAATAACTGAATGCAAATGTTAGTACTGACACTAATAACTAATGCGAATATTAGTTCTAATTACACCAATTACTATATACACTGCACACCAATAACTGAATGCAAATGTTAGTACTAACACTAATAACTAATGCTAATCTTAGTACTAATTACTCTATATACTATATACACTGTACACTAATAACTGAATGCAAATATTAGTACGACACTAATAACTAATGCTAATATTAGTACTAATAGGCTACTAATACACTGTACACTAATAACTTGATACAATAACTAAATGCTAATAGTAGTACCTAATTACACTCTGTACACTAATAACTGAATGCAAATATTAGTACGACACTAATAACTAATGCTAATATTAGTTCTAAATACACTAATTACTATATACACTGTACACTAATAACTGAATGCAAATGTTAGTGCTAACACTAATAACTAAAGCTAATATTAGTACTAATTACACTAATTACTATATACACTGTACACTAATAACTGAATGCAAATATTAGTACTAACACTAATAACTAATGCTAATATTAGTACTAATTACACTAAAAACACTGTACACTAATAACTGAATGCAAATGTTAGTACTAACACTGATAACTAACGCTAATATTAGTACTAATTACACTAATTACTTTATACACTGTACACTAATAACTGAATGCAAATATTAGTACTAACACTAATAACTAATGCTAATATTAGTACTAATTACACTAAAAACACTGTACACTAATAACTGAATGCAAATGTT